CACACACACACACACACACACTCACACACACACACACACACACACACACACACGCGCACACACACACAAACAAACAAACACACACACACACATACACACACAAGCAGGGCCTGAAAGTATTTTTAATCTTTCATCTTTTAAATGAAAATCTATACCTTTCAGAAACTGATAATTACCTCCCTCATATTATATGAGTTTTTGTATCCCCCATTCATTTTATAAGAGGTTTGCATTTTTCTATATAATTATTTCAAATAGTTCAATATTTGTAAGTATAGTTCAAATATTGTTAAAAATTCAAATAGCTTGTACTCATTTAAAAATGTATATTTTCTTTAACTAAATAAAGAAAGAAAGAAAGCCTCATAATCTCTCCCTGTGTGTGTGTGTGTGTGTGTGTGTGTGTGTGTGTGTGTGTGTGTGGTGAGCGCGGATTCCGTGTGGGATTTCCCCAAGCAGAAAACGCACTCACGATGGCCGTCATCGGCGTGCAAGGGGGCCCTGCACGTACCGCAGTAACGGCGCGGCATTTGTAACAACGCCGAGAAATTTGCTCTTTAGAAATTTGCTCTTCTATCTCGCCGGATGGCGGCAGGGGACCCGGACTGCTGCTGCTCGTGCTGAAGGCGGCGAAGGCGCTGGATCAGCCGGGCAGAGTCGTTCCGCTGCAAGGCGTGTCAACGGCGAGCAGGCTCTTCAGTCAGTGGAGATGCGAAGAACGTCGTCGTCGCTGAAGGATGAAGAAATCTGAATCCTATAGCGAAGCAGCCGCTTATATAGCCAGATGACTCCGCCCATTCTGGCGGGCTTTGGCAGGCTTCGCTGCCATAGGTTTGTTTTTAAAACACTGCACGAACCAATGGCCGTGCAGTTTCACTGCGTGATTGAAAAAGGCTTCAGTTCTGGAGAAAAAATGACTTTTTCCCATAGCGTCTAGCAGACGCAGTACGAGTGCAGTATCGAAAGGGAAACTCATATTTCCGCTCAGATTCAGACAGGAATCATGTGTTTGTGCTGCTTTTCTGCTGTTTGAGGGAGAATGCAGGACTTCACATTACAAAGCAAAAATGCTCTGAAATGCACATCTTTTTTGAGAAAGCGTGACTTTCTCTAGCAAAACAGACATCAGTCAGAAACATGTACCGGATTGAACTGAGCAGATCTGCTGTTTAATATCAGTATTATGTGTGACTGTGATCTTGTGCTGTCTGAGATGTTTCCTTGATTTGGCAGGAATCCTGATCAAGATAAGCTGCCGTGGTGTTACACGATGACGGAGCGAGCCGTTTTCGTGGGAGTACTGCGCCATCAAGCCCTGCTCCAAACCAGATCCTGAGCTTCTCATGACTCACAACAGCAGTAAACAAGAAACAAAGATAACCTTTCCTAAAAACTTCTCTAGAAATCCCACGGACTTTCTCAGGTGTGGGAAGGGAAAATCTCACCCAGCGTCGCCTGAAGCGCTAGATTTAGATAGTTATTTTATTAACGGTGTTCAGAGACGCTCATGATCCGCGACAGGCGTGTTCAAGCAGGCTGTTCTCACCGTCACTCTTTATACATCTAGTGTACATAAACGTAAAATTTATATATTTCATTCAACAAACTTGCATTGAATTGATCAAGAGCGACAATAAAGACATTTATAACGTTGCAGAAGATTTCAGTTTCAAATAAATGCTGTTCTTTTGAACTTTCCATTGATCTGTGAATCCTGAAAAATAACACGAATCACAGTTTCCACAAAAATATGAACTGTGTTCAACATTGATAATAATCAGAAATGTTTCTTGAGCACCAAATCAGCATATTAGAATGATTTGTGGAGAGAAGACTGGATTAATGATGCTGAAAATTCAATTTACAAATTACATTTGACTACATATTCACATAGAATAATATTTGTAATAATATTTCACAATTTTTGCTGCATTTTTTATCAAATAAATGCAATCAGCGTCTTTTAACTCTAGTGTTAGCAATAACAAATACTAAAGCACAGGAGTTTATTTTTTTATTTACTTTTTATTTTACACATTTATTTATTTATTTACTTACCCCTCTGAGGTTGTTATTGCAGGTTTATTTAGTTATTGCATACAGCTAAAACAACTACTATACGTTTTGTCCATTTGTTTTAAGCGATAGAATATTCAGTATCCTACAGTCAGGTGTATTCAGATTATTTTCATTAAACACAGTCTCTGTTGTTTCTGTCAGCGGGCCACAGAGGTCCCATCATCGCCGTGGCCCCGGGGCCCTCCCTCAGTTCTTCCAGGACCACGGCGTGTGGGAAGAGGCAGGAGAAGCGGATCAGTCGGGGTCGAATCCTGGGCGGGACGTCTGCATTGCCCGGCGCTCACCCCTGGATGGCAGCGCTGTACATCGCAGACGAGTTTTGTGCAGGAGCGCTGGTCTCCTCCTGCTGGATCGTGTCGGCCGCTCACTGCTTCCTGCGCAAGTATGTGTCTGTGTGTGCACTTCATGCATTTCTATAGAGTTACAGCTTCAGTCTAACTCCATACACACTCTCTCTCTCTCAGTCCACTAAAGTCACAGATTCGGGTCATTCTCGGCCAGCACTCCTTTAACGACACCGGTCCCAACACCAGGACCTTTGCTGTTCAGGATTATATTTTAAACCCGCGTTACACACAGTTTGAGCCGACCTTAAACGATATCGGTGAGTTTGGACTCTAAATACAGAAACTTTACCATCATTATTCACTTACAAACTTTCATATCTGTGCGTGTGTGTTTACAGCTAGTGCGTTAAACTAAAAACAGGGCTTTTCTATTATACATATATAATGTTTATGCATACACAAAAAAAATTTTTTTGTCCTTTTTATTAGTTTTTGTTTTCTAATGTCAATATAGTATTTATTTATATTATCAATTCGTTTTAGTTTATTTACTTTTAGTTATCTTAGTACTTAAACTGAATGAGAATCTTTTTTTTTTATATATTTTATTTTGAGTTAACCTTTACAGTTTTAGTTATATATATATATATATATAATTATTTATTTATTTATTATTATTTATATACATTTATTTACAATATTTATTTACAAATTACTGTCAATTAATTTTAAAGTTGATGTTATGTTTAATGCTAGTAAATTGCAACACGACACTTATTCACCTTTTAAACATACTTTTAGTAACAGGGTTGCAAATATATATATATATATATATATATATATAAAACAAGAAATAAAAAAGCTAAACAGCTCATATTACATTTTGTTTCAATGAACATTCATTGGTCTTCATTCTTATTACTGTAAATTGTTTCAGGAGTTTCAGACCCTGTTTTGTACTTTATTCGTTAAAAGTCCCATGTGTGTTCAGATGTGGGTGTCTGCAACATGGACGAGTAAACAAAGACAACACATGTGAAAATGTGCTTTTCAAGCTTCTCAGGAAATGTATGTAAAACTCACACACACACAGAGACACACACACACACACACACACACACAGTGTGTATCAGACATGCTTCAACATGCTGAGCACCACTATTGTTCTCCAAAAGCACATCAATTAAACTCAGTTTCTGTATTTTGCAATAGATAACAACAGAGAGTGTCTCTCACCTGTGCTAAGCATTGCTATGGGGCGAGTAAGCATGTGTGTGTGTGTGTGTGATAATCTTGTGTGTAATAGCAGCTTTAGTGAAGCTGAAGAAGGTTGACGGACGCTGCGCTCTGAAGACGGCCTTCATCAGGCCCATCTGTCTGCCGGGGAAACACATGACGTTCCCCGATCACTCCTGCTGTAAGATCTCAGGCTGGGGTCACATGCACGAGAGTGAGCTCACCGTCACTAACTCTGCACCAGTGCTGCTTTACTATCACTGAGATACTCTTACAGCTTTTACCAGTGCTTGAAGTGTACCAAGGGTCCAGTAAGAGAATGCATTCAAACAGTAAGTGTGAGTGTTTTATGCTGGATGCTGGCTGAAGGTGTTTTAGATCACGCCGTTGTCAGTGGTTTAGTAATTCTGCATGGATCAGTCAGGTCAAGGTAGCTCGTTTAATGGTCTTTTGGTGTCTCCCTGTGGTCCTGTTTGGTATCGCAGCTTGACTTGTGCAAAAGTTTTATTAAAAGTGCTGCAAACTGCAACTGTAAATGTTTTTTGTGAAGCTGCTTTGCAACGATGTGTATCATGAAAAGCGCTATACAAATAAACGTGAACTGAATTGCAAACATTTATTTATTTATCGTGACACTATATGCATTCATTGCGAATTGTGAAAATAAAAAAGTACTTTTTTAGTACTTTAGTTTGTATTTATTTATTTTTGGGTGGGTGAATTATCCACTTCAAGCACTGGTTTTTACTCATATTTTGAGTAAAATATGTATTTTACTCAAAGTTACTCAAAATAGTATTTCTATTTTTTGTTCTATTTTCATTTGAATTTTACTTGATTTTAGTGATTTTGTTGTTTGTCATTTTATTAGTCATGTTTTTAAATGTCTATATGGTTTTTATTTTCTATTTCAGTTTTAGTTCTAGTTATTTCAGTACAAGTTAAACTAGATAAGTAAAGATCGTAAACAAACTTTTATGTTGGCTTGACAAAGCCTTGTTTGAAAGTTGTAATATCTTTGAAAAGCTTGAAGTTTGAAGATTTGATCTACTGCATTGCTAAAATTTTATGCAAGTTGCTAACATGTTTTAGCATGTTGATAGCATGTTTTAGCATTTTGCTAGCATGATTTAGCACATTACTAACATGATTTAGCATGTTGTCCTTGTCATGTCGTTCCAAACCCATAAGACCTTCGTTCATCTTCAGAACACAAATGAAGATATTTTTGATGAAATCCAAGAGTTCTCTGACCCTCTCATAGACAGCAATGATCCTAACACAATCAAGATCCAGAAGCGTTGCAAGGACATCGGTAAAATAATCCATGTGATAATCCACGTGGTTCACCCGTAATTTTACGAAGCTACGATAATACTTTTTGTGCGCAAAAGAAAAAATAAATAACGACTTTATTCAACAATTCGTCTCCTCCGCGTCACCATATAGCGACATTTTGGAGAATATCCACTGAATGTAAACAGCGTATGCAGTTCTGTGTCAGCTGCATCACGCGTATACGTGGTGTACGTTCAGATCAAAGCGCAAACAATGTAGACAATATTAGTCTATATTATATATTGTATTTTTGCTATTTTGTACATTGTCTATTTTGCATATTTGTATATTATTCTTTTTATTATCTGTGTCCTGTCTTGTCACTGTCATTATGTTGCACTGTGGAGCTTCTGTCACTAAAACAAATTCCTTGTATGTGTAAACATTCCTGGCAATAAAGCTCATTCTGATTCTGATTCAACGTATCCGCGTGGCGCTGCTGACACAGAATAGCATAAGCTGTTTGCGTTCAGTGCATATTCTCCAAAATGTCGCCAGGGTGACGCAGAGGAGACGAATCGTATTCTAAGTATTCTCGTAGATTCGTAAAATTACGGTTGAAACACTGATGTCACATTAACTATTTTACCAAAATCCTTACTAAGTTTCTGGACCTTGATCGTGGTAATTACATTGCTGTCTATGGGAGGGTCAGAGAGCTCTCGGATTTCATCAAAAACATCTTAATTTGTGTTCCGAAGATGAACGAAGGTCTAACAGGTTTGGAACGACACGAGGGTGAGTAATTCATGAGAGAATTTTCATTTTTGGGTGAACTTATCCTTTAAAAGAATTTCAGTATATTGGCTCTGTCAAGCCAACATGACTAAATGAAGATCAGAAATGAATCCACAATGGTGAAGCAGAGCTGTTATGTAGTAATGCACACCTCAGTGTGACGCGTGACGTGTGTGTGTGTGTGTGTGTGTGTGTGTGTGTGTGTGTGTGGGAATGTGACGTGTGTGAATGTGACGTGTGTGTGTGTGTGTTTTAGAGGCGAACTCGTACTCTCGCCTGATGGAGGGAGTGGTGAAGATCATCCCGTTCGATCAATGCTCGTCTCCAGACGTCTACGGGTCAGAGGTCAGGTCGGGGATGCTGTGTGCGGGAAGTGAGTCCTGTGTGGATGCCTTTCAGGTCAGACGCCAAAACAACACCTTTTGTCATGTTATTTTTATTACGTTTATTGGATTGCAGATTTGGATTGTATATGACATACGACTAATAATTTTAGACTAATATTCCTATTTTTAGCATAAATTAAAAAACATATGAATAGGAATATCAAATATTCTGTAATACATTTTAATAAATAGTTACGTATATATATATATAAACACACAACAGTTCTTTCTGGTCCTCGAATCTGATTGGCTGATAAGAATGTTGACATTAGAGTCCAACAGAACTCCAACAGCCGTTTCACCGTTTGTATCACTCCGCTTGCTGAAGTTGCCGTATTTCTCAAAGTGAGTGTCATGGCTGCAGATTGTTAATAAAGATAACGTCTATTTGAACATTTGCTTTGATGTTTTCGGAGATGTGAGCTCCAGGACGTCAGCGGCCGTTCTGCGCTCATGAACCCGCGGAGAGAGCGCCTCACCTCAGCCAGATCTTCTGGAATTTACCCGGAAATCATTTTGTTTCAAAGCAATGAAAAAACAGGTCTAATTATTTTACTTTTTATTTTAGAGTAATATTAATTTACTTAATATATAATATGGAATAATAATAATATGGAATGTCTTTATCAAGAAATACTGTAATATCACTATTACTGCAGTAATAATAATAATGATAATATATAATGTAATTCTTATTGTTTTAGATTAATATTAATATAATTAGTATTAATATATGCATTCATATAGAATTTTCTATATCAGTAAATGCTCTTATACCTATATGGAAGCATGTTTCCGCCACTGAATAAAACATGAATAAAAGGTAATTTCGAAATAAAATTCGGACTTTTTTCTTTCTCAAAATTATGAGTTTATATTCTGTAATTCTGACTTTAGAACTCGCAGTTGATAGTTTATATCTTGCAATTCTGAGAAGAAGAAAAAATTCAGAATTGTGAAATAAAAAGTCGCAGTTTATTTTTATTCCGTGGCGGAAACAGGCTTCCATACACATCAGTATTAGTTTAAAATAACTGAATTGTCTGTACTGACAGATTGTTTGATGTGTGTGTGTCTGATGTGTTCAGGGCGACTCGGGCGGTCCGTTAGCGTGCGACTGCGACGGCGGGAGTTTCCTCTACGGAATCATCAGCTGGGGAGACGGATGCGGACGCTCGGGAAAACCCGGCGTTTACACCCTCGTGCCCAAATATTCAGACTGGATCAACAGCGTCATCAAAAAATCCAGAAAAACATCCCAAAAAACATCAGTGAATAGAACAACCATAAACATTTGTATCGGGCGTCAATACCAAAAATGAAACAACTGTGACTTTACTATTAATGTATTCATGAAGGCTTTCCATTCCAGTGTTACTGCGTCATACTGATGCACGTGTGTTTTACTGCGAGCCTATTGTATTTATATTAACAAGCAATATGGTGACATGTACACTGGAATGGAAAGGGTTATGTAAAGTTATTATTATTATTAGCATTATTATGTTTTTTGCGTATCGATAAATTTTGATTGCTGTGAAATAAATGTCTTTAATCTGCATTGAAACACTAAAAAGAGAGTTTTTTACAGTGTTTGAGTGAATCTGGTGTTGGAAAGGTCATGCTTTGCACACAAACCCTTGAAAGCGAACAGACAGATGCAACAGTTTGCTGTTAAATCATAGTTTAGCAGCATCATTTGAACAGTAAATTATTCCACTATAATAAACATTAATTAAGTGCATTCCTTTGACTTTCATTCAAACATGTCTCTGTGTTGAATTTCTTTTCTGACATTGGAATGGCCAAGTAATGCATAATGAATATGTATTAATATTTATATCATATTTCAACACAAAATTTAAATATATGACATTATATGTCACATATTATTATTTTTCATTATTTTGATCGTTTTCATAGCATTTCCTCACAGTTTGTATTACTTAAATGGTAATAAATGTTCGAGTTTGCTTGTAGTTCAGTCGTTGAATTATTATGAATGATTATTTCTATTGGATTGTCATAACTGCAATATAGTAATGAGAATGATCCTGTTCAGTTTTTTTTCACGTTGTATAGTATTTATAGGTAATTAATTTTCAATGGACTTTCGACAGTACAAATTTGTTTTAAAAAAGAACACAAAGTAGAAAGTGTTCCATCATTAATGTTTTGTTTTGATAATGAAACCACATGTTATCATTACAATAATGTTATAAACTATTATTAGACCTAAAGCCGATTTACTTTAAAGCTTTATTTTCTTTAACTTTTTTTCCCCCCACTTTGGGTGAATTTTTGTTTGTGTGTGTGTTTGTTTGTGATATGCACCCTTGTATTGCTTAGAAATGTTTGCACAATTATAATAGGGACACTATTTGTACCTGATCTGATTATTATAAATTAAATTACCTTTTAGGTGTAGTAATGTAATTAGGTTGCTTAAGTAATATTACATTCAGATAGGCCTATTTATTTATAGCTAGAGAGAGAGAGAGAGAGAGAGAGAGAGAGAG